AAAAAAAAAAAATTATAAAATTTGCCGTTTTTGTTTAAACTTTATGAAATCAGCTATATAATTTTATCGTTGTGCACATCTACAATGTATTGGCTACAAGTTCTCCAACTTTCGTGTAAATATCTTATGTCATTTTTGAGATTTTCAGTGGAAACGAGACATCAAAAATTTTCAATTAAAGGGCAATATTTCACAAATAAAGGCATGCATAAAAAAACTGAAGACAGGTTTAAATAGGTTTAACTACAAGCTATCTATCCTGAAAGTTTCATAACGATCAGTCCAAAGGTCTTTGAGAAATCGCCTGTCAAAAGTCGAGCGGGAAAAAAAAAAAAGAATAATAAGAAACAATAGAATAACAGTAGGGTCTTCCGAAGGAAGCGGAAGACCCTAATAATAACTAGGCTAAATCATATATGTAGCGTATTTATTGTTTTTTAAACAACTCAAGAATTTCATTATTTTCAGCATGACTCATAATTTGACCAAGCTGTTTTACAATCGGGAGTTAGGACTGCAAAGGAGTGATAGCTCTCTTTTGAAATGTTTAGTGAGAAACGAAGTAATGGGTTACCTTGAAAACGAAGTACTTTTTGATCACGAATGTCTTTGGGACCTTGCCATTCTTTTAATTAAGCTGTCCTTTTGTACACACATTGGCAAATATTTATATGAAATTCTTTGTGAGAAAAACCAAAACTAGAAACAGGAGATACTAGCATTGTCTTTATTGCTGGTTCGCTTTGTAAGGCATGCCCTTTAGACGATAAGGACCGCAGTGCCATAGAATACTACAGAGAAGAAATTAAGATGTTTTTTTGTAAAATTATTCATATTTGGAGTCAATATTAAATCTTTTTGGAAGTATAAAACTTATTTTGTTTTATTTAATTGTCTGTTTATTAGGACTGTGTCAATATATTGATATAACGATACGTAGGAAATTCAATCAAATATCCTTTCAATAAAAAAATTCCAAAACTTTTGGGGCACAGTTTTTCTTAAATAGTTGTAATTCTGTAAAAAAAAAAGTTGGAGTTTTCAATCACCAAATATTTATTAAACTGTCGTTAATTAAAACTTATCATAAATAATAGAAACATGTAATGACCATTTTAACATGGTTTTACAAATGTTAAAAGTTTTAAATTTATGTATATTTATATTGACAACGAGACAGGAACTTTGAAATTGATGAAAAAAAAACACTGAGTTAATTTACAATAGTTTTTTGAAATATGTTTTTTAAAGAATCTAATATATCGCATATCACTTTAGAAAATATTGTAGTGTAACGTACAGATTTTTTTCTGCTCAATATACACGGTTCTATTATATATTTACTTGTCATTTAGGCCACGCCAATTTAATTTTTGATCGTTGGACCCGCTGGCTGTATTAATAACTCTAAACAAAATAATTTTAATTCCCTGCACCTGGGAATCTCTGAGCTATATAATAATATATTTGTTCTTTTTTCCGTTCTTTTTTTTTCGTATTTTAAACTTGTTTACTTTAAAAATCAGAGAAAGTAGAAAAAATATAAATATCCACTCAATTTTTTTCTTGTTCTGCCTGAAAAGTGAGTTTACAGGAAAGAAATAATGTAATTAATTAATCGCTAGCCTGCTCCTATTTTTTTCATCAGATGTCCGACGAACAATAAAATAAATATGTGTGACGTTGGTTATTTATAATTTTTTTAATAAAAAATCTTTTTTTATTTAGATGCCAAAGAAAGGGCGAAACATATATGTTAAATAAAAGATAGAAAATCTTCAAAGTGCAGTTAATGCTGTTAAAACAAAAGCGATGAGCTATGGAAAAGCTGCAAAAACTTACATGGTACCCAAAACAACCATAGTTGACCACGTAACGGGAAAAAGTCAAATAGGTAAAAAGCTGGTAGAAAATCCACAATACCTATCCAAGTTGAAAACTCAATTGTTGAAAAAATTTTGGCTGCAGCAAAAACGGGGCTTTGGGGAAACAAAAAAGCAACTTATTATTAAAGTTGCGCGTTTGGCGAAATTAAAAGGCATAACCTTTAAGAATGGGGTCCCTGGAGATGACTGGTGGAGAGCATTTAAGTAAACACCCAGAGATTGTGATTCGAAGACCAGAACAACTAAGTACAACCCGTTCAAGGATGCTGAACAAAGCAGTTGTGCAGAAGTTTTTTAAAAGATCTGCACATCATAATCAAACAAAATAAATTAGCTCCTTCAGATATTTGGAATGCGGATGAGACTTGCAAACAATTCAGTCATAACCCTGCTGCTGTACTTGCTAGACGTGGTGTCAAGTCTTTCCCGGGGAAGAACGTCCACATCGCGACAAAGCATCACAATACTTGCTTGTGTCAATGCCTCTGGTGACAAAATGCCACCGATGTGCATTGTCAAAGGGAAAACCCCGCGATGTGTAGAATCATTTGCGACCATTGATGCTCCTCCGGAAACGATATGGACTTACCAAGAAAAGGCTTGGATGTGTGATTTGCTTGGGGAACTTTGGTTCAAATCCGTTTTCCTTCAGAACTGTGGGCCCCGCAGACCACAACTTCTTGTTTTAGATTCTCATAGTTCTCATGAGGTATTGGGTCTTTTGGAGGCAGCCATTTCCGAGAACATATTAATTATGGCGTTGCCTCCACATACCTCCCATCATCTGCAGCCCCTTGACAAGGCAGTCTTTGGTCCCTTCAGCAAGGCGTATGGTCGAGCTTGTTCTGAATTTATGACAAATCACCCTAACCACGAGATCAATAAGTCTACTTGGCCAAGAATTTTCAAATCAGCTTGGGAGGCATCAGTAACCCCAGACAACATCAAAAGTGGGTTCCGTGCAACTGGTATCTGGCCAATGAACGTCAGCGCATTGCCAGATTACGTTTATTTACCATCAGAGGCATTTGACCTACCCATTGAAAACCGGCAGCAAACAAGTGTGCCCTCTTCCTCACAACCAAATTTGTCTTTACTCTTTCTGCTGAAGCAGCCGTGTCATTAACTACTACAGATCTTGTAGAGGACCACGACAGCTCAACCAAACATGGAGACAAGCTAGGTACACCAGACGATCTAATACCCGATGATATGGCCTCTCTGGATGCCCAGATACCACCAGCAGATGTTGGCGCTCTTTAGATGCTCTTGGAAATGGTGCCCTGGAACTTTCAGGCACAAGTGATGCCAACAACAATGCAAGCACTTGGAACTGGACGGCGGAAATCGACGATATATTTTCAATCCCAAAGTCAACGCCAAAGATGCATAAATCAAGATCCTCCAACAGCATAACCAGCCATCGTCTGTTGACTAGTGAGGAGGTTGTGGAAGGAAAGCGCGAAAGAATGGCCGAAGGAGAAAAGAGAAATCAAAAAAGAAAACTTTGAAAAAAAACAAACGAAACAAAACAAGAAATATGTATCGTAAATAATATGAAAAACATATTAATGGACATTTAACTTACTGGGTATACAGTTTCCATGTCAAGAATTTTAATACCTTAAACTTGACTTGATAAAATTGAAACGCACAAAATTCCTTCGTAATAGACTGGTTTAAGTCAATGAAAAATCACCATTCTTTTATTCATGTTTCAGATTCCAAATGTGACATACAACTTATTTTGATCGTTTGCTTAATTGTGGCAAAAACTATAACACTATAATACATAGATATGATTACGAAATTATCCGATTCGACGATTTAGTTAATCAAATTTAATTCTCTTCATTGTTATATTTTAAAAAAAATAAAGAAATATTTCAGAATATATATGTAAATCGATTTGTATTTGGAAATAAAATATATTAAATGCACATTTTTTACGTATGCTTCGCATGCAATGAAAAGTCAAGCATACCAAAAGTTCAAAGCGCAATTTTTCTATACCAGAAAATGACGGTGGTCGAAATTACCCCTCATTCGGTCGAAATTACCCTGATTTTGATCTTGTCATAAATTACTTATTTACTTCTTATTTTTCCCTGACTTACGAAAAAAACAAGTAATATGTCTTGAGAATGAAGGGATCTAAGGGTGGGAGTGCATGATTTCCTTTCAAGTCGAGACTTTTAAAAAATATATACGTTTTAGGTAACAAATCTTACATTTCCGGTCGAAATTACACCACCCTACCCTAATATATAAAATTATGTTTTTAAAAAAATTACTGGTTCCTTTAGCTCAGATGGGCTAATAAGTATGCAACAGGCACAGTTTTGGAGTTGACATTGAAATGCGACTGGACATCTCTTCAATCTTGTTTTAGAAAACTACATGTACATGCCCTATGTACTTAATTCCTTGGAATCATACACATGTTTATGCCTTTAATTAGTTGTATGTGCCAAAATAACAATTTTTTTTACATTATACTGTAAAAATTACACATACATGTATTACAAGATCTTATATTCCTGCTGAAGACAGAGGATCTTTCTTAATCATTAGAATAAGTAAGTCTAAACTTTGAAAGGGAAGACCTTAATAAAGAGGTCAACATGCTACACAAACAAAATATTATTATATTTAAAAATAACATTTATTCCAATGTAATTACTGGTACATGTATTTCTGTTACAAAAACTATTTCACTTGAAAAACTGAGAGCAATTGATATGTTCATATTTGTGGATTTATGTTGTCAAATCAAAATTTAAAAATGATACACAGTGTGTTTAAAAATTGTCTTCACAAACCAAAACTTGACTTATTTTCACTATGCTGTTTATTCCATGTCACATCCAAACAGATGATCTTCTGGCAAATCATGGTCATGCTTGGTATCAAAATTCAGTATTCAGATGAGTCACACCTATCCAAAAGAAATTGAAATTTTTTAATTTATAATTCTTTTACTAATAAAAAGTGCAATTCATGAGATTATAAATTAGATTATCAAATTGAGAGATAAGATATTGTCACATTTTCTGTGTATAAATTGTAAATTTTAATGTACTCTTTCATCAATTAAAAGAAGTTTACACCAATTAAGGCAGTCATTTATGCTATCCCCTAATAAGACAACATACAAGTGCAAAGTAATCATGCACTTGTGGGTTTAGGATAATGTGTTAGAGTATTTATGACAACATACTAGCACGAGGTGACAATGTGCTAGCATGTACGTCAGTGATAATATGCCAGCACACTGAATCCAACATGCAGTGAAGCTAACACTCAACAGATTGTTTAGAGTTGTGTTTGCATGATATTTTGTTTTGTGTTAACACAGCAGCGTGTTGTTTCAAAGCTGCATTGGAGTGGCAGTCTGTTGAAATTAACATGCTAACACACTGCAACTTCACATCATTGGTACACCATAATTTTAAACTGGCAAAACCTAATAATTTCTATGATTATGATAACTAGGTAATTGCAACTGTAAATGCTGATTTCATGGTGACAATTATACCGGTAATTCACTGTATATCTGAGAACTGATCAATTATAATAAGGCGTGTCCAGATAGGGCCACTTGCTAAAGCTCAATAGCACTTTCATAAAAGCGTGCCATCTTACCGACACAAAAGACGCCATTAAGCTATCACACAGCTCGCCATCACAACACTGAAAAACACTTTCGCACTAACACAAGTTCGCACCACACGCTGTCACACTAACACACAACACACTGTCACGCTAATAAAACACTGTTATACAAATGCTGGAACTGAATTTAATTTATATGCTAATTCGATTCCGTATAACGAATTCTATAACCTATAACGAATTCGCAATATGCATGTTTTCCTTCAAGTGTTCCATCAAATATGTTAGGGAACAAATATTACAAAACAGTTCGCTTAATAACTAAAGTTTTATTATGAATGATTTTTAGTATACAATGCTCAGAAAACTAGTCACTCTTAATATTCAAATTTCACACTTAGAAAGTTCGTTATAAAAGATGTAAAATTCATTATATTTAACCTCAACGGGATTTCAAAATCAGTTCGCTATACCAAATTCGTTATGTCAGGCTTCTTATCCGTAAAATTTTACCAAAGATTTGTGTAACACATTTTCCGAACTTCCAGGAAAACTTCGTTATATCCGTGAGTTCGCTATATCCAGTGTTCTACTAAACGTGTTTTACTGTAATACAATTCACAAACACGCTGTCGGCTAACACGAGTTCACACAACACACTATCATGCTAACACAAATTCAAAACAGCTGTCTCGCTAACACAAGTTCACACAACACACTGTCTTGCTAAAACAAGTTTTACACAACACGCAAGTCTCGCTAAATGAGTTCATACAACACACTGTCACGCTAACATGTGTTTACACACACGCAGTCTCACGAATACAAGTTTACACAATACACTGTCACGCTAACACAAATTCACAAAACAGTTGTCTCATTATTCACTAACACAAGTTCGCACCAAAGCTGTCTGCGATAACACACTGTCATCCTAATACCATTTTCTCACAACACACTGTCATAGTAATACCATTTCTCACAACACACTGTCAGGCTAATACGAGTTCAACAACACACTGTCAGCTAACACAAATTTTACAAAACACTGTCTCACTTAAATTTTAACACAAGTTCGCACAAGAGGCTGTTGCATAACACACTTCATCCAATCCCATTTCACACAACACACTGTCACCTAATACCATTTCACACAACACACTGTCAGCCCTAATACCATATCACACAACACACATCACGCTAACACAAATTCAAAAAACATGCTTCGCTAACACGAGTTCACATAACACCATTCTGGCTAACATGAGTTCACACAATATGCAATCTCGCTAACATGAGTTCAAAACACACTATCTCTCTAACACCAGTTCACACGACAAATTTTCAGGATAACAAGTTTACACAACACACTGTCACGCTAACACGAATTCACACAACATGATGTCTCGTTAATAAGAATACGCACAACACGCTGTCTCGCTAACATGAGTTTACACAACACGCAGTCTCGCTAACACGAGTTTACACAACACGCAGTCTCACTAACACCAGTTTACACAACACGAAGTCTCGCTAATACGAGTTCAATCAACACTCTGTCTAGCTAACACGAGTTTACACAACACACTGTCACACTTACACTTTATACACAATTTTACACAACACGCTGTCCTGCTAACACGAGTTTACGCAATACATTGTCAAGCTAACAAGAATTCACACAACCCACTGTCAAGCTAACACAATTAAGTTCACAAAACACACTGCCTTGCTAACACAAATTCATACAACACACTGTCTCGCTAACACAAGTTCACACAACACACTCACATTGCTGAGTTTAAAGTAAAGGTCTACCCTAATTTGAAGAGGTTTAAAACTAACATATCTCTATTTTAGTAAAAAGCTTCAAATTTAAGACAAAAACATTTATGCAGTAATGTTCCTTAACATGCATCTGGCATATAAAATGAATGAGACCTTAAAAACCTCACAGTACATGTTTACTTAGCTAATTAAAGGTCTAAATTGATGCTATTCAACAATATATATCAACGTTAACATCTCTAAGTATGTGAATGAGTGAAATTCTCAAATAAATATTATAAATCAAAGTATCAATAAGAAGCTGAACCTTACGTCGCAGGTTCCAATTTCATTGCTAAATGCTTTGGACAGGTTACTCCTATGAGACTGCATAAACCAAGATTCTGTGTCACGGTAGGTGTTAGCACAAAATGGATCTCATACTTCTTAAAGGCAATAAGTGCTGAGTACAAGTCTATATTTGCAGCTAATACCATCCCAAGTGGTGGCACCATGAAATGACTGAAAAATGTATGATTAAGGCAAATAAACAAACATTAAACCATTACAGCAGTCTTATCAAACAAAAAAAGCAAACTTTCTATTATCACAATTTTTTAAAACAAATTTCTTTTGCAATTTAACTGAGCAATTTTTGTCCTTTTTAGTCAGTAAAGTATGATATTAAATGATTAAGACTTTTTGAGAACATCTATTTATAGCGAGTCCAGACAGCAGCACAAATCCCTGCCCATAATGCAAGCTCTTATGATAACACCTTGGCAAAAGAAGATTGTGACTTGCACATTGCTCCACACAATTTTTCTGCTTAGCTTCTTTAACATGTTTAAGCTACATTCAAAATTCATTTCTATTTAATTTGAATTAGCTATCCTTACTCATGTTCACATGGAGCTAATGGGAAGTAATTTAACGAGCAGTGAATTCATTCGAATTAAACATTTGAATAAACTCTCAGTGTGAACATTGAGCATGGATGCACCAAATGTCAAATGCGGCTTGACAAGCACAATCTAAATTAAAACTAAATAAGTATCTGCACTCACCCTTACAGTCACACTGTCAATATATAATTAAATGGAACACTTCTAGTATACCGGTCCCCATAAATATGGCGCTAAAATAGGTGCCGCTGAAGGCGGCATACAATATATAGACGATCGCGTGAGCGATCGACAAAATCGAAAAAGAAACCACAAATTGCAAATTTGACCCCAAATTCGTGTTCCTCGTGAAAAATTTGGTTTAAAAAACTGGTTTTTAAACACATTTTTTTAAATGAGAATTAAAATATTTTGTAAAATAACGTACATGTTTAGGAAGTAAATCTCCATCTTGCGTTGTTTAGGAATGTAGTCACATGATCAATTTTTGACGTAATCTCATTAATATTCATGAGATGCGTCACTTGTGTTTTGACGTAATGAAGAAATGCCTGATAGGACTCAAAGTGCAATGCTATTAAAATTGCGTGATTTTTGTGAGAAATACAGGGATTTAACAAATGTTAGCTAATTACTAGTCATCGATGGATTGAATTGTGCATCATTATCGATTTGAAAAGATAAAATTTATGAATAAGGGGCCTATTTGGACATGATTAGGAGGTCAGGATACAGAGCTGCAGTTAAAGGTAAGTCGCTTTTACAATAACTTGCCTAAACTCAGCGCTAAAATCGTCATGTTTCAAAAATTGAGTTGATTTACCCGAACTTTCATTTCTTAATCTTTCCTTTGTAAAGCAAATATTTCATGAACTAAGCCAAAGTGTAAGATATCGGCACAATTCGACAGGCTGATACATGCAAGTTTTTTATCACAAAAGGCACATGCGCACACATAGTGGCTTTTGTAAGCAAAAATTACATTAATAAGCCCTAAGTCAGAATTAAAGAATACAGAGTGGATTTATTAAAAAAGACAATTTAAAAAAATAAACAACCTAACCCTAATCACTCGATCGGATGCGTTTTGTTGAAGCGAGTGGGAAATTGCGGTTTGTTTACATTCTGCATAGCAACGGCAAGGGAAATAACTGCTCATGCGCAATCGCGTGATTCTGGGGACCGGCATACTAGAAACTTCCCAATTAGTTGAATATATTCTGTAACAGTAGGTGCAGTTTGAATTATAGAGTATGATCACTATGATAGATAGTAGGACTGTTGAAATTACATCCTCAAATTTAAAAAAAATAAAATATAAAGCTGTGGGGATTTACAAGGCAAACAGACAGCTTCTGAACTGTAAAACAGATAATATATCAGTGTGTCTGTGTATTTCTAATAACATCAATGTATACTCGATTCTCATTATATCGCGGGTTTCATTGTATCGCGGTATATTCCAAAAAATCAGATACATGGCTCACATGCTTTTTGTTGAAAAAGTATCAGATTGTCATCTGAGTGTAAATTTTTGTGATGATTAAAAAGTATGGAACATGCGTCGGAAAAAAAATTATTCAAATAAAACGTAATTTTACAGAAATCCATTATTATTTTTAGCCCACTGAGTTTATAATCTAGTGAAATCTATATTAAATTCATGTTTAAAAGTCTTTAGTTCGCATAATTGTTTATTTTCTTATGTAGAATTACATGGTAAAATAAAAAAAATAAGAATGAAGTCCATGTCAACCTCAGGTATCCATGTTTTCCCATCCCGCGATATTATGAGACTCTCCGATTTAGGAGGTAAATAAGACTTCCTGTTTTAAAAATGGACTACAAATTAAACGATGCAAGCTTGGGAAATAATTTGATGATAAAAAGTTAGGCCATAGGTTGGTTTATAAATATCATTTGATGAAAGTTAAATTTAAAAAAGTGAATTACACTTTTTTATGCAAAAGATTTAAGTACCGCGATATAATGAGACACCTGTATACATCACTGTCATGTAATCAGTAGTGTAAATTTTAAGTAATAAAAATATTCTAACCTTCATTCCAATGGTCCAAGCCAATCATACATTAAAATGTCGCCGTCAGCTCTTTCATCACTCGATACAATTATCCACTGGGGAATCCGGAGCAGAGTCAAGAGTGTTCAACCTTGTTAATGTGACAGTCAGAATTTCCTCGTAAACAATTCACACAAGATTCTTAGAATATATGAATCGGGATAATTCTGCTTAATAGAATAATGTTCCAGAGAAGTGACAAAGTACTTCGTAGCTCCAGATTAAATGAGTGTGCATGTCTACAAACGGATTCTTTGTGAGAAAATGTTCAACTTCACAAATCATTCTATTTTCAGTTTGTAAACCATGACAAACATGTGTCCGACGTCGACTCGAAGGGGCACACTAAAAACGGGATATACTACCCAGCTAACACAAAAACATTTTTAAAATGTTTTTAAAACATTTTCAAAATGTTGCGAAAACATTTTTAAAAAATGTTTTAATCACGTGATTTTGTATGGTTTTTTAAACGTTTTTAAAACATTTTAGTGAAATATTTCAGCAAAATGTTGTCAGAACATTTTCTTAAAATGTTGCGAAAATATTTTTAAAAATGTTTTAATCACGTGAATTTGTATGGTTTTTTTAAACGTTTTTAAAACATTTTAGTGAAATATTTCAGCAAATGTTTCTGGAACATTTTCTTAAAATGTTACGAAAACATTTTTGAACAATGTTGTAATCGCGTGATTTTGTATGGTTTTTTAAATGTTTTTAAAACATTGTACAAAATATTTCAACAAATGTTATCATAACATTGTTATAAAATGTAACAAAAACATTTTCAAAAATGTTTTTTTTTTTTCACGTTTAATTTGTTTGGTTTTTAAAACGTTTTCAAAACATTCACGTCGAGGTTACAAAAGTATTTTTACTGAAATTTTACTTTTCTCATTAAATAATAATATATTTATATTTTAAAAGAAATAAACACAAGTTATATTTAATTTTCAAACCTTTAATACAAACCCATATTCAATATGTTAATAACATTTAAATTCCATTCTCGGTACAAGTTTTAATTCATTTTCTTTCAAGTCACCGGGTTTTAAAGGGTGAAAACGGTGTCTAATCCATTCACTAAATTTTAAAAGAACAAAATCACAGAAATCCTATGTTCACAGTATAGGTCGAACAGAGCGGTGGATCTATAAGACTTAGTTAGACTAATACACTGAAAAGGCTGATAAGGAATCCGCCCCTCGGAACGAATAGCACAACCTGTAAAAATAAGGAAAGTACGTTGTGTTTGTATCAGCGTTCTACATCTAATGTATCTTAAGATGATCAATGAAAATATACAAAAAGTATTTTAAATAATTATATCAAATTTAAGTTCTTTCCTCATTTACATTGAAAAAAGCAGAAAAATAATTACTATGACAATATTATTGAAGAGTAATAGTATTTACGTACACCTTTGCCTTCACCAAAGGCGGGTCTTTTGAATGGGGGGATTTGAAAATACGGATGATGCAATCAACACCATGCTGTAAAGAAATTACAGTTTTAAATCAACATATTGTTTGATGATTTTAAAACATTCCACAAAGACAACGAATACTTGAATCAATGATATAATTGTGTTTACTTAAGAATGAAATATTCAAATCAAATACATGTGTATCATGCGCGGATCTAGAGGGGGGGTCGGGGGCGTCCGGACCCCCCCTGGAATTCACCAGGTTAAAAAATGTATATACTATAACAAGAAAACAGTTACCATCGACCCCCCCCCCCCCTGGAAAACTCAGACCCCCCCCCTGGTAAGCATGAACATGTGTGAAGTGGGTAATAAGTGAAAGATTTGAAGCAATAGAAGTCACCTATACCCCCCCCCCCCCCCACGAAATAGGTTTTTGACGTTTGCGCGATTTCCTTTTTTTTTTTTTTTTTGTTTTTTTTTTTTTTTGCTTGTCAAGAAATATCTGGTGATTGGAATTTTTTTTTGACTGAGGTGGACCCCCCCTGAAAAAATTTCTGGATCCGCGCCTGTGTATAACCTTAACGCTTTGTCATTTCTTAATGCTACATACATTTGTACAAAGTTATTGATCATGCACTGGTAGTATAAAAGTCATTTTTAAATGATCTTTTAAAGTCTATGATAAAGGAATAATTCTTACCATTCAAAGTTAATAAATCCCGAGGTTATTATTGTTGTTTAATGGTGCAAAGTCTTCTCATTCAAATCGGCACGGAGTAAGCGCGCACATCTTGTTTACCAGAATTCAAATTTAGATAAGCTGCAAACCACTATACTCTGTAACGGGCTGCCCAGGAGGAAAATTGCATAATAGGTTATCATGACACTGAAACTGACCAGTGTGCCAATCCCTATCTAATGCCTCAGAGTAAAATCCTGGGAGTGGATCACAGATTTGATTAAGAACATTTTTAAAAAATACATTAAGAGTTTTATCAAATGCTTATGATTTTTTTTTACATTTATTTATATTTTAAATTTTGTGTCCTTTCATTTATTGATTTTTTGATTTGTTTTAATTAAAGGACTTTATATATGTCTGTTTAATCAATAAGCCAAAACTAGAAATCATTATAAAATACCGGAAAAAATCTTTCAATTAAAAAATTACTACAATTCTTCATTTCAACACTATTCTTCCTATATATTCTTTTTTTTCTTCATAAACTTAATTTTAGGAAAATCGCAATCATACATTATTTGAATGTTTTAAGAACATTTTGAAAATAACATTAAAAAATGTTGCAGCAATGAAAAATGAAGTCTTTAAAAAGGGAAAACACATTAAATTCAATGTTCTAAAATTATTCTCACAATATACTCTTAAAGTTAATAAATGAATTTAAATTGTGCCTCAATTACATAAGTGTTTCAGAAACATTTTGAAAATGTTTCCAAAAAATGTTACAAAAACTATAAATGTTTCCATTGTAGTGAAAATAATTATTTTAGTTAATGTTTTAAATACACATTTTCACTGCCTAGGCCGAAAAATATCCGGAATTTAATGTTTATAACTAACAGCGATATTAAGAATGTTTTAAAAATATTATTAAAATGTTCCTTACATTTTTTTCAGAAACGTATAGGCAATGTTTCCGTTTTACAGAAAAAGGATGTTTCATTTCATGTTTTAAGAACGTTTTTAAAACGTTTTATAAGATCTTTAATATTTGGAAGCTATACGCACCCTTAGAATAATTTTAAGAAAAATGTTTCTTAAATGAATTAAGAATGTTTCAAAAACATTTTGACAACGTTCCTTCCAAATGTTTCAGAAACGTATTCATGCAATGTTTCAGATTTATGGAAAAGGAATGTTTCATTTCATGTTTTTAGAACGTTTTTAAAACGTAATATAAAAATCTTTGATATTTGAAAACTAAACATACCTTTTGAAACATTTTAAAAACGTTTCAAAAATATTTTAGAAAAATGTTCCAAAAGGATTTAATCATAAGCTTCTTCAAAACATTTTAAAAATGTTCTTAAAATGTTATAAAGAGAAGAGGAAATGTTTTAAAAATGTTTTTAAAATGTTTAGTCTGAAATGTTTCGAAAAAACCTTTTTACAACACCAATAAAATGTTTTGAAAATGTTTTGTGCTACCTGGGTAGAGACCTGATATTTACCTGATGTTTTAATTTGAATTAAATGGTAATATTGAGTATTTTAAATTACTTATGTACAGACTTTATGACTTCGAAGCATATGCTATACAAAAATTCAATTGTTTGGAACATTTACAGACAAATTTGAATCAGGTCAAATAAGTGTTTAGTACATCGCGTCTTTAGTACCTTCCTATTTCCCACAATGCCGCGCATTGTTTACAAACAAGCGCGAAAAAATCCTCTAAACTAGGTACTTATTATTGTTGTGTACATTATCACATTTTAAAATTATTTGAATAAAAAGAAAACAAAGAAACACCGAATCAAAACTATATCTTTTAGATGCATCAACTAAAAATGTGCACATGTATGCAGTAAAGGCTTGGCTGCAATCGTAACTACTCGGCCATTTCCGTAACCACAAATAACTATCGGTTACGTAGTCTCGTTCAACCAGACCCTCGGCTGTCTCCGTAAATCTCCGACCACCCAGAGGGTCTGGTAAAGATACGTATTATCGTTTGTGACGCCAAAACGAGGCTTACCGAAATTCTGGTAAAGTTTTTGATTGGGTGAAAAGAACACACCTACACGATTTAAATAAATACATGATAAATCAGCAGAAAAGTAACTTAAATATGTAAAAATTATGTGTCTAAAAGTTAAAGATGTTAGATAGGAATTATCTACGGTAATGCCCACCAGTTATAGGTAAGCGTGTTTTATTTTTTCTTGCAAATATTTTGTACGAAAGCAAAAGCGAAAGTAGTGTAGCCCTACAAGCGTAATACACATTCCTTCGATTGATATTGTAATTTCTTGTTTGGAGTCCCAAATTAAAGATTAGTTTATTAATATAAAGTCACAATTCAGAAGAAGAAACACATTTAACATTTGTTTTCAAAAAGGATCTTCAAAATGAAAACAAGATAGCGCCCTCTTACGGTTACAAACGCTTACGTGATTCTTTACCAGACTCTCTGCTGGTCGGAGTTTACGGAGACAGCCGAGCGTCTGGTTGAACGAGACTATCGGTTACGGAAAAGGGCGAGCGTGATCCGATTGGGCTTGGCTGGATATAGTAGACAACTTGTTCCTGAAAGGTTTCTCACATACATGTACTTGTTTTATATAAAAAACAATTAAATATAGCTGGAAGTTTATTTCTTTTTATATCAAATGACAAGATTTTATAAGTTCGAAATTATTTCAGTCAAACTTTTTCATAATATACCAATATTTTAAGCTATCAGAAAAAACGTGTATGAGCTATAAACCCCTAATTATAGGGGCCAGCCCCTTTTCATTAATCTAATATGAAAGCTCTCGTAATTACACACAACTTTTGTTCTATATTTCTTACCAAATTATTCTCGGTTCAAAAGTTATTACACAAAAAGTAGCAAAAATTCAAGAAAAAAAATTACTAAAATTTGCCGTTTTATAGCTTCCAAACTTTAGGAAATCAGCTTATAATTTTATCGTTCTGCACATCTACAATGTATTGGCTACAAGTTCTCCAACTTTCGTGTAAATATCTAATGTCGTTCTTGAGATTTTTAGTGGAAACGAGACATCAAAATTATCAATTAAAGGGCAATAACTCACGATTAAAGGCATGCATCAAAAAATTGAAAACAGGTGTAAATACGTTTAATTACAAGGTATCTAACCTGAAAGTTTCATAAAAATCAGTCCAAAGGTCTTTGAGAAATCGCCT